TTGTTTCTTTCACTGTTTTGCTGCTGGAAATCTCCAGCCATGAAACGAATAAGGAACTTGATGGTTATTCATGTTTTCTTGAGTCCAAAATGCTCTCATTTCACTCCAAAACCTCACTTGAGTTTTTGCCCTAAAATATACTTGGATTTTTCCTTGATTTGCACTCTAAATATATTCGTGTATATTGGGTTTTGAAAAGTTAACTTGGATAGGCATACGATTCATAGTCGAGCCTAAATTGTGAATTCCGTTCACTTGACTTTGGATGTGGGGACCATAATTATTTTGCCTTGGTTGTTTAGGGTTTGTTGGTGAGTGCGAGCATAATCCAAGGATGAACTTTTAACATTGCCCTACTTGACCGGTGAGTGTACCACTTGCATGATTTGTTGTTTAAGTGCACTGCTTTGTGACTGAAAATTATGGATGTATGATTACGGTTAAGTTGTTCTAGGCGGGCCAAGTGTGTACTTTATCTCACCCGGTCTCATTTAACTGTTTGACTGTTTTACTGTCCACTTGACATACATTACTTGTACTTGAATTTAATGTTGTTTGGATCCTAATATCCAACAACTCTTCTATGAACTTGGGCTCAAACCCTATCAGCTAGTTAATCGACTCGAGTCACCAAGAGCTTGGTCGAGATAGATTGACGGGCCATAGGGATCTATCTCTGAATCTCTGAATACTATTACTTTGGAACCTAATATACTCGAGTATTATCACTACTATTTCTGTTTGGTGTTCGGACCCGGTAAGGGGTATGGTCGGTGGACGGATATCGGTGTAAAGTGGAGATCTACGGTAAATGTTTTGCTACTTTAAACGTTGACAAGTGTCAACGGTCTTTGATCAAGCTACTGCGACTGGGACTCTGGCTCCTGAGAGCAACTGTATCCCTTTACCCGTACCACTGGACACTAGTTGTGGTGTTTACTTATTCTCTTAACAGTTGCTCATACTTGTTAAACTATAGTTAAAACTATGTGATCTCCGACTATATGATCCAGTGGTACCTTATTGGGCGAAAGCTCACTCCGTCATATTTGTTTTCCTTGCAGGGGCAAAGTCTTGGGAATCGTGCCTTTTGGGAAGGGTTGAGCTAGTTATAGCTTTTAGGTATTTTGTATGAGCTCCTCTGTAATAGTAACCCATGTTTGTCTTTGTATAAGGTTGAACACTTTGGTATGTACTTTAAGTATGAATCGCTAGTGACCCTATTGTATATAATGCTGGATTGACGATTTGAAGTAAATGGTGAGTTTTAGTACCTTTTGCAAAATTTGGGTTAGCTAGTCCTGGCGAGAGTTGGGCAGACAGTCCGCTAACCCCTGGGATACGCCCTAAGGGAAGGTGGGGCTATTACATAAAGCAATCTTAGGTACCATGTCCACGTGGCAAAAAAGTGAGCAACTACAACAACTTTCCATGTCTTTTTATGATATAGCTTGATGTATATTGATACATGTATACTTGAATTTTCAATACCTGCACACACATGCACGCACACATATAAACTTCTTTTTCACATTCCTTTCTTGCATAATTCACTCTTTAAAATAAGATATAAAATTTTACTCGCTGAATTGATACTTAGATAGACTTCTCTTTTTATTCTTCTACATTACTCATCAATTATTTATGTTTCTGCTTCATTTACTCTCTCAATTGATACTTATATAGACTTTCCTTTTATTCTTCTTCATTACTCATCAATTATTTATGTTTCTACTTCACACCCTTAGTTTTTACTAATACATAATACACATTTATAGATATGTTTCTACTTCTTGCCCTCTTTTGGAAGAGCAAAAGAGGATATTTGAGTTTAATGAACCCAAATCCATGTACTTAAAGAAATCTTAGCTAGCATGTTCATGTGGCAAAAAAGTGAGCAACTACAATAACTTTTCATGTCTTTTTATGATATAGCTTGATGTACATTGATACGTGTATATTTGAATTTTCAATGTATACACACACACACACACACATACATACGGACTTCTTTTTCACATTCTTTTCTTGCATAATTCACTCTTAAAAATAAGATATAAAATTTTACTCTCTCAATTGATACTTAGATAGACTTCCCTTTATTCTTCTCCATTACTCATTAATTATTTACATTTCTACTTCATTTACTCTCTTAATTGATACTTAGATAAACTTTCATTTTATTCTTCTCCATTACTCATTAATTATTTATGTTTCAACTTCATACCCTTAGTTTTTACTAATACATAAATACACATTTATAGATATGTTTCTATTTCATGCCCTCTTTTGGAAGAGCAAAAGAGGATATGTGAGTTTAATGAACTAAAATCCATGTACTTAAAGAAATCTTAGCTAGCATGTCCACGTGGCAAAAAAGTGAACAACGACAATAACTTTGCATGTCTTTTTGTGAAATAACTTGATGTATATTGATACATGTATACCTGAATTTTCAATAAATACACACACACACACACACACACACATACATATAGACTTCTTTTTCACATTCCTTTCCTGCATAATTCACTCTTTAAAAGAAGATATAAAATGTTAGTCTCTCAATTGATACTTAGATAGACTTTCCTTTTATTCGTCTCCATTACTCATTAATTATTTATGTTTCTACTACATACCCTTAATTTTTACTAATATGTAAATATACATTTATAAATATGTTTCTATTTCGTGCCCTCTTTTGAAAGAGCAAAAGAGGATATTTGAATTTAGTGAACACAAATCCATGTACTTAAAGAAATCTTAGGCAGCATGTCCACGTGGCAAAAAAGTGAGCAACTACAATAACTTTCCGTGTCTTTTTATGATATAGCTTGATGATATTGATACATCTATACCTGAATTTTCAATACATGCACACACACACACACACATTTAAACTTCTTTTTCCCATTCCTTTCTTGTATAATTCACTCTTTAAAATAAGATATAAAATTTTACTCTCTCAATTGATACTTAGATAGACTTCCCTTTTATTCTTCTCCATTAATCATTAATTATTTATGTTTCTACTTCATTTACTCTCTCAATTGATACTCAGATAGACTTTCCTTTTATTCTTCTCCATTACTCATTAATTATTTATGTTTCTACTTCATACCCTTAGTTTATACAAATACATAAATACACATTTATTAATATGTTTCTACTTCCCTCTTTTGGAAGAGCAAAAGAGGATATTTGAGTTTAATGAACCCAAATCAATGTACTTAAAGAAATCTTAGGTAGCATGTCCTCGTGGCAAAAAAGTGAGCAACTACAATAACTTTCCATGTCTTTTTATGATATGGCTTGATGCATATTGATACATGTATACCTAAAATTTTCAATACATGCACACACACACGAACACATTTAAACTTCTTTTTCCCATTCCTTTCTTTTATAATTCACTCTTTAAAATAAGATATAAAATTTTACTCTCTCGATTGATACTTAGATAGACTTCCTTTTTATTCTTCTCCATTAATCATTAATCATTAATTGTTTATGTTTCGACTTCATTTACTCTCTCAATTGATACTTAGATAGACTTTCTTTTTATTCTTCTCCATTACTCATTAATTATTTATGTTTCTACTTCATACCCTTAGTTTTTACTAATACATAAATACAAATTTATAGATATGTTTATACTTCATGCCCTCTTTTGGATGAGCAAAAGAGGATATTTGAGTTTAATGAACCCCAATCCATGTACTTAAAGAAATCTTAGCTAACATGTCCACATGGCAAAAAATGAGCAACTACAATAACTTTCCCTGTCTTTTTATTATATAACTTGATGTATATTAATACATGTATACCTGAATTTTCAATAACATACACACACACACACATACATGTGGACTTCTTTTTCACATTCCTTTCTTGCATAATTCACTCTTTAAAATAAGATATAAAATTTTACTCTTTCAATTGATACTTAGATAGACTTCACTTTTATTCTTTTCCATTACTCATTAATTATTTATGTTTCTATTTCATACCCTTGGTTTTTACTAATACATAAATACAAATATATAGATAAACATAGTCTATTGCCCAAAATTATGTCATATATGCCAACTTGATTTTAACTTTTTAACTTATGTGTATTACTCTTTTAAAAGAAATAAATCTTTATTCCCTCAATTCAATCTCACCATAGATACATTTTCCTTTTATTGTTCGACACAAGCACAATTCTTTCTAGGTTTTATATGTCACTTTGGTCTAACATAAGCAAAGTATTTTCTTCTTTGAGATAAGCTGTAATTTGAAAAAAGAAATTCCTTTTTTCCATCTTTTTTTGGTTTTCATCCTTATGACTTATGATGCTGAGATGGGTACCACATTTCAGTGTTCTTGTTTGTTGATCTAATTTTATTTTATTTTCTAGTGTATTGGAGACTGAACTAGTACAAGTTGACATAGACTTTAGCTATTTCAATGTTCAAGCAAGTTGTACTATGCTCGAATCTGACACAACCCAAATTTATTTAGCACCGTGTTTGGTATTCAACGGAAATTTTACTCAAGATAGATACAATTTTGTTTCCACATTAATTCCAAGTTTTTCGAGGAGACAAATACAGCCTTAGTCAAATTTGAAACTAGGTGTAGACTTAAATGCTCATATGTATTCTAAAATGTTTATGAAGTTCCCTTTTGGTTTTTCTAATTTGCAGTGGCAGATAAAAGTAAAAATATATTATCCCACAAATGGATTCAATTTGATTTATATTACCTGAAACTCGTTACTCTTCATTTAAAAAGAAAGAAAAGTGGTATTGAAAAAAAAATCAAGCCAGATAAGAGCAAGCATGGATCTCATTCAAAATGTGGAGGATTATTCCCCCTTCCATAACTTGATTATCCAAATAAGAGAGTACATGAGCAAGGATTAGGAATACTGACTATGGCACACATGGCGTGAAGGAAATCAATGCACCGACTATTTGGCTAAGAGCAGCATCAGCAATGAATCATGATTGCAGGTGGTTAGAGAACCTCCAATTGAACTTAGAGAATTACTTGGAGCTGACATATCAGGGGTTGCTACCCCACGTTTGGTAACCGATTAAAGGATGAACCTCTCACCTTTTGTAGCAAAAAAAAAATCAAGCTGTAAAAAATATATTTAATTGTTTAGATTCATAAACTAAGCAATATACAAAATAGGGTAAAGTCTTAAACTTTAGACTAAAACTTGAGACTAAACACTAGTATATTCCAATTGATAAAATAGATCCTACTTTTTAACAAAGGACAACTGTAGAAAGACATGTCAGGTGTAGTTGTAGCTGAATGTTAAATTCATCAAAAGACAAAGTAAGAGACAACTGTCAAGAAATGTGAAAGCTTCACACCAAATGTCATCGGATATCTGAAATTCATAAAAAGTGTCAATAAATGCCAAAGCTACCGCACATGTGTCAAAAGATTCATGATTTGTAACGCATACCACCGAAAGATGCAAACTTGAATACTACTTTATCATCTTTCCTAGACATGTCTATACATTAGTTCTACTTCTAGATCTGGCTCAACCAGAAATTCAGAACCGTCTTTTGCAATATTACTTCTGATCATCATGTTTTCTCTAATACTTTTGCTCATGATGTCCCTCCTTATCATGGTCATCATGAAGAAAGGCAAATTTTTGGGGAATGCAGAAAAGAACAGTAAGCATTTCTCTCCCAAACTTCCCCCAGGCCCCTCTCCATGGCCTATAGTTGGAAGCTTACTTGAGCTATACAGAAACCTTCCACCATTCCAATGGATTGATGGCATCATGAAAAAATTGGAAACTGATATCGCGTGCTTCCGGCTAGGCAGTGTTCATGTTATTGTTGTGAATTCTCCAGAGCTAGCTAGGGATTTCTCACACAATCACAATGCAATATTTGCCTCTAGACCTATTACCATGGCTACCCAACATTCCAGCCATGGATATCTCAGCATGGCGGTTTCTCCATTGGGTCCTCAATGGAAGAAAATGCGGAAAATGTACACCACTCATCTAATAACGCCTTCAAGACTTCGATGGCTACTTGAGAAGAGAAATCAAGAAGCTGACAACTATGTTTCCTTCATTTTTAACCAGTGCAACAAATCTTCTTCTTCTGATGGCTCAGTCATCAATGTAAGAACTGCCCTTCGTCACTATGTTTCAAATGTCATTAAGAGAATCATTTTTGGCAAAAGATATTTTGGGGAAGGTGGAAAAGATGGAGGCCCAGGGAAAGAGGAAGAAGAGCATGTTGAAATAGTTTTTAAACTCTTGAAGTACATGTTTGCCTTTGGTGTATCTGATTATCTGCCATGGTTGAGAGTGTTGGATATACAGGGTCATGAGAAAAGTGTCAAGAAGGCTATGAGAATTTTGAACAAGCACCATGACCCCATCATAGAGGAAAGAATCAGGCTATGGAGAGATGGGAAAAAGAAAGAGCCCGAAGATCTACTGGATGTTATGATAACATTGAAGGACGAGACAGAAAAATCATTGTTATCAGAAGAAGAGATCAAAGCTCAGTGCATTGTAAGTACTTAATTGGATGGATTATAACTAGAAGTTCCAGTCTAAATCATTACGTGAAGGATTTGACACGATTAACTTAGAATTTCATTGGAAATTAATTAAATTATTCTGTTCATTTTAGAGTTTGTATTTGAAGTCTTCTATTTGAGAGTTGCATTCTAATTTTCGTTAGTATTACTCTTACTATCTATTAACTCAAATGTCACATTGTAGGAGGTGTTCTTTGGGATGGACAGTCCAACAACTTCAGTTGAGTGGGCATTGGCAGAAATGATTAACAAACCTGAGCTACTACAAAAAGCTGTGGATGAGATCGATAAAGTGGTCGGAAAGGAAAGACTGATTCAAGAATACGATGTTCCACAGTTAAACTATGTTAAAGCTTGTGTTAAGGAAGCTTTTCGGCTCCATCCTGTTACTTTTTTTAATCTTCCGCATGTTTCAACTGCGGATGCAATTGTTGGTGGCTACTTTATCCCGGAGGGCAGCCATATTTTGTTGGGCCGCTATGGTCTAGGTCGAAACCCTAAAGTTTGGGAAAACCCTTTGGAGTTTAAGCCTGAACGTCATTTTGATTGTGATAAATCATCTAAAGTGGAGCTGATAGATCCAGAGTTGAGAATGATTTCCTTTGGTTCTGGAAAGCGTGCTTGTGCGGGGATTGCACTTGGTACACCTTTAAGTGTGATGGCATTAGGGAGGATTGTCCAGGCATTTACTTGGAGTGTGCCCAAAACTTTAGAAAATATTGATTTGTCTGAAGTTCCAAATGGTTTGGAGTTGGCTAAACCACTACATGCATATGCAAAGGCGCGATTACCATCCACCATGTATCCTATCATGCTAAATGGGTTTTAAATGCTAGCAGTAAATGTGAAACATCTCAACCTATTTGTATAGAGTACTCAAGTCTAGATTGAAATTATCTTATAATAGTATTTCATATATGTGAAATTGTGAATTTATGAGTGAAATTAATACCCACCATATAAGTTTTATTTACACACAAAATGTCATGAAATAAATGTAAAATCTACACCTCAAATTTTAAATATTTATGTCTAGAACTTACAAAAAATAACATAGACAAGTACCTTTTTAGGTTGATCAATATATGCTATAAAGTTGCTCTTAAAATTTCTTAGTTAAATTTGCTTCATTTCAGGTAGAATATCTAGTTAAATTAGTCTTTAGTCTGTAAATATACAATAAAATTTGCATGTACCTAAGCCTCTTCCATCCTTTTTAATATATACATATAGGTCTAGGTTGGTCTAGGTTTTGGTTTGCGTATGGGCATAGATTTTACAAGACCAAACCCTATCCAAATGTATGATTATTTCATAGCATATAAATCTAGGTAGGGTCAATATTTGAAAAATTAAAGACAAATTCATAAAAATATGATAAGTCTAGATTAGGTCTAGATAATACTGGATCCATTTACCAGCTATTAACATGTCTAGTAATTGATCCAAACCATTGATAAAATTCCATGTAGACATAGATAGACATTATTGTGTAAGTTCATATTGAATATTGACATTAGCCTTTATTGAATATTGATGTAATCCATTTTCATCCCTTATTACAATAGTCTCCAATCGATTCCAAGGATTACAATTAGGCATACATGAAAGAACACTAATTTAATCTTGATGCTATAGACTCAATTAAAGTAGCTTTTACTTTCATGAAAAAAATGAAGTCCCTTCAATTTACTTTAACAATTAAAGCAAGTTTTATTTCAATTGCTATTCAAATCCTTATAATTAAATTGTAAAATGAAAAAATTTGTATAGATTAGTTGCTTTTCAAGGTATTTTTCAAAAACCACACTACTATAAAATTGCATATAAAAACTTTTCTTGTAGATGTATTTTGAGGATGTTATTAAAATTTAAAAATTTATTGGGTAGTTTAAAAAATTTTTAGAACTTCCTACCACAACCACCCACTACCCTCTTCCCCTCCACCAATACCACTAGCCACTAGCCACTGCCCTCCCCTTCCCTTCCCCTTATCCTCTTCTCCCTCCCTCCCCCCTTTCCTTCAATCCCCTCCTTCCCCAGTACCCTCTAGAACAGTTTCTTCCCTCCCTTCTCTTTTCTTGGAACCCTCCACTCCATCTTGTGACCAAATTTGGTTAAGGAAGATAGAGAAGGAGGTGCAGGAAAGGGGAAGAGAGGGTTCCAAGAAGTTCATGGGAAGGGGAGGGAAGGGAAGGAGAGGAAGCAAGGGGAAAGGAGGGGGAAATCAAGGGTTGGGGAGGTAGAAGAAGGAGTTGTGAGATGGTGACCGGAGTTGGGGAAGGAGGTAGGAGGTGGTTGATGGTAGTGGGAGGTATGATAGTGAGGGGGTTGTGGTAGAGCAAGAAAGGTAGAAGTGGTAGTATTTTTTTATTATTTTTTTCATATTTTAAGTGTATTTGGCTATTTTTGAAGTGTGTTACTATAGCATTACATTTGAAAAATTGTATTTAGGAAAAACTTTGAATCCAAAAAGAATGACAGAATAGAATTATATTATACATGCACATATTTGGATACATAAATAGTATTACACACAGAGACGTACATATATATACAAACACACAATACATACATCTCTACATACACAAACTTTTACCGAGATTATAGTTAGATTCAAATATATGATAACTTTTTTAACTTTCCTTCCTTTTAATTTTTTAATCTTTATAATACGGTATCAAACTTTAGGATTTCAATTCATTCAAATTATAGAAACATCCCTTTTATTCCATTTCATTAATTATTAAATACATATTTTTCTAGTTCACACCCTTAGTTTTTATTAATATGAACATATATATACATAGATAAACATGGTCCATTGCCTAAAACTATCTCATATATATATATGTATGTATGTATATATAACAACTTCACTTTCACTTTCCTTTCTTATATTGTTAGTGAGTATTAAAACTTTATTCTCTCAATCCATGCTAAACACCATAGATACACTTTCCTAGTACTGATATTCCAGAGCGAAATCGGTAAGGCGATTAACAAAGAATTAGGGTTTAACTCTCGAGGGCTGCCGTCACTACTCCAAGGGCTACGGTCAGTTGCCATGGCTGCCCTTCAGCCTCCGGCTGAGGGGCAAAGGGGGTCACCGTCCTCAAGAAAATCCTTGTCTCAACTTTTTTCCCAACCAACCGCTTCACCAATCCAACTCCGACTAGTGACGTCCTACAAAGGGGAAGCGGCGGTGATTTTTTCCAAAGACGATGCGGAGAAACTCGCTGCCCCATTCTATTGGACCTTGGTGGGGAAATTCTCTCATGGTCGGCCTGCTCTGGAAGAGGTTAGGAAGTTCTTCGCAACGCTAAACTTGAAGAATCAGGTATCCATAGGCCTACTGGATTACCGTCATGTGCTGCTGCGATGCTCGGCTGAAGCGAATTTCAACCGAATATGGACCCGAGGGATTTGGCAGCTAGGTAAGTTTCCGATGAGACTTTTCGCTGGACTAGACATTTTCACGTCCATAAGGAGTCTTCTTTGGCTCCAGTGTAGTTCTCGCTGCCATCGTTGCCGATTCATTTCTTCGACAAACATTCGTTGTATTCCATCGTGAGCCCAGTGGGGAAGCCTTTGTTTTTGGATGCAGCCACAGCTGCGGGCACGTGACCAAGCGTGGCCAGAGTATGCGTCGAATTGGACCTGATGAAGCCACTTTGCTCTAGAATTTGGGTGGTGGCGGAAGGCGAAGCTGGGTTCTGGCAGAAGATAGTGCCTGAGGAGCTCCCAGCATACTGCTCCAGGTACTGGCGTTTGGGTCACTCCGTAGGGGATTACAGGAAGAATTCCTCGGAGCAGGGAGTGGTGAATGATCGACTGGTGTAGCATGCACCCCGGGTAGTTGCTCAACCTGCTCCTATGGCTGACTGCCAGGCGTTGCTCGCTGTCAAAGGGAAAGAGACAGCGGAGTAGAACCAGGAGCAGTTTGGTTCTCTGTGGGTTGCAAGGAAGAGGGATGCAGGCAAAGGGCGGGAGCAAGTGGATCATGTTCTGCCAGGGCAAGTAGCAGCAGATAATAGCACAAAAAGGACCAGCATTGAGGAGCGCTGTGGGGAAGAAACAGCCCATGATTTAGGGTCAGCAGGAGCACACGAAGGCAGGGAAACACCTGGACTCGGGGAAGGGGCCACGTCCAAACCTCCAACCAGCAGCTTGGGACAGGGTCCGCGGAGTTGTTGGCTGAGAAAACATCAAAAGCTGGGGTTGTAAGGGACGAAGAAACTGCATGGCAATTACGGCGGCTGTCGGGTGAAGAGCAACAGGTTGCGAATACGCAACTCAATAGCGAGAAGCTACTAGGATGTGCTGGTGCCTCGGGCTTCCCAGTTGCCCAGTTAGAACATGAGGGCTCTGATGACACGGAGGATCGAAGTAGCCTTGACTTGCCCCAAGTTGCGGGCAACTTGTCGCCAAGGATGGTGGCTATACCTGAAGCCAGCTCGGCTTCCTTGGTGGTGGAACTAAACATTGATCAGGTTGGTGGAGCTTTGAAGGGGTTTGCAAAACCAAAGGGAAGGGGAGCCAGCACTCGAGTCACGTCCGACAGGCAGCTCAGGTCAACAACATCACACTTTAGCTCTGTCCAGGGTTTGAATCATGATTAACGCTCTTTTATGGAATATTAGAAGGGTGCCTAGAGCCCCGAATCTGCATAGATTGCTAAAATTAGTGCGATTGCATGACATCAAGTTTGTCGCGATATCGGAACCAAAAATGAATATTGCGAGTGTTGAGTATATTCACATGCGGTTAGCTTTTGATTCTGTAGTTGGTAATCTGTCTGAAGACCTGTGGATTTTCTTTAGTAGCCTTTTTGTTTGTTCAGTTGTTAGTAGTTCCAACCAGCATATTTCACTGTCGGTTTGTCACCCGTGGTTGTCAGGATCCTTGGTTTTTTCGTTTGTTCATGCAAAATGTACCATGGAGGAACGACATCATCTATGGCACAACTTGCTCCGCGACAAGCCTAGTGATACTCCTTGGTGTATTGGGGGCGATTTCAATGTCATAACGGCTCCCCACGAAAAACGGGAAGGCCGGCCTTTCTCAATGGCGGAAGGCATGGAGTTTCTGGCATTCATGGAAGAGGCGAGGGTGTTTGACGTTGGGTTTTCGGGATCGAGCTTTACGTGGTGTAATAATAGGAGGGGCGAGTGCAAATTTGGAAGTAGTTGGATAGACTGCTAGTCAATGGAGAGTGTCAGGGAATTGCTTCGGCAATCTCTGTTGCCCATCTAGCAAGGCACCCATCGGACCACTCACCTCTGAAAGGTCTCGTTTGCATCTAGGTTAGACAATAAACCGCATCCATTTCGATTCTTAAATGTATGGGCAGCAAGGCCAGACTTATTGGAGGTAATTCGCCGGGTTTGGAGTGCTGATACGCATGGCTCCCCTTTGCGAATTCTGTGTACTAAACTGCTGGCAACAAGGAGGGGTATTCAAGAGTGGAATAAGCTCTCCTTTGGGAATGTTTTTGATGCAGTCAGGGAGGCAGAGGTAGACTTATTAAGAGCCGAGGTGGCCACAGAAAATGATGTATCTGAGAGGAAGCTAGTTGAGCTATAAAGGGCCCAAGTGGAGTTTAGGAGGACGCTAGCGGTGGAGGAGCAATATTGGCTTCAGAAGGCTCGAGTGAAATGGCTTCATCACGGGGACTGGAACACCAAGTACTTCCAGGCGGTGGTCAAGCAGAGGAGGGTCCAAGGGATGATACACAGGATTAAAAAGGCGAATGGATTATGGGTGGAGGATGAGGAAGCAATAGCAAGTGAGGCGGTGGCATATTTCTCTGAGCTGTTTTTTGGGTCTTCAATCCCCAATTTGGGTGGGTTGCTCAGTCTAATTCCGTCGATGCTCACGG